CCCCCGCCCCTGCCGCACCTCATCACCCGGGACCGTCACCCCCTTCCCCCCCCTTCTCCTTCAGAATTAATTGCAGGCAACGCTTGCTCTCTGCTCTGGAGCCTTCCGCAGCGAGGCGACGGCCAGCGTTCACACCTCGCTGCATTCCCCAGGTGAGCAAAACCCTTGCAGGGTGCCGCGCAGCCAGCGCAGGACGAGCCCTTGACTTTAAGGCATGCTTAGTCTATTGAAACAGCTGCTTTATGGCACCGGTATATATTATAACCCCCCCGCCCTGGACTCAAACCATTTGCTTTCCTAGCTTTGGGGCATTTCTGGAACAATACTGAGCTGGCGCCTTTCATTCAACGACTGCAAAGCACTTTGCAAACTTTAATTAAAGCTCTCAGCCCTCTGGGAGCAGGGAAGTTGCCTTATCCCTAAATTATAGAAGGGGAAACTAAGGCATAAAGCAATTAAGATGCTTGAGTGAGGCTCTGTGGAAATCGGGGTGGGTGTGAAGCGGCTCCCGCATGTAAAGCCTTCCCTCCCCAGCTCGGTTCAGCTCAGCGAAACCCACCGGGGTACGGCCGTCTCCTGCGGGATGAGGCTCCCCTGCGCTTCCCAACTGTTTCGGCTGCGGGAATGGGGATGTTTCCGGCCTGGACGGGCTCCCTGACCCCTCCGATACCGTATCCCTCGCTCCAACAGGCCAGAAGCCACAATGAGAGAAGTGTGAGAACCTCACAGTGGGCAACTGGGGGATAAGCTGCCCCCTACGATGCCTCATCCTGACTCCAGGAGTAATTGGTTTAAACCCCCAAGCTCAGGGGGTTTTATCCCTTCCCAAACCCTCGCTGCATTAACCGTTGTCATGCCGGGGGTTTGTGCATCTGACCGATACGCTCATGGGGTTCCTGCCCGGCCGCTCCTCGGGGCTGGCCCTGCCCTCCAGGGTCACCACCGTCCCCACGCTCCTGCTGCGGGATGGGGACGGTCCCTGGACGGCTCCTGCATCCCGGTCCTGCTTCTATACACGGCTCCCAACCACTGCTTTGCCTGCACACGCAATGCGCTCCCACCCCTGCAACGCCCTGCGGGCCATCGCGTCCACCAGGAAATCACGCTCTGCTTCGGGGATGCCGACAGCACCCAGGGAAGCAGCTCTGCCCAAAAGGTGACGTTGCCATCACCAAGTTGGGGACAATTAAAAGCCGGTGGCTTCGTGTGCGGCTCCCCTGGACAACGGCCCTGTGACCCAAACCCTGCCGAAGGCTGAGGGCACGGGGACAGGTCTGGGCGGTGACCGAGAGGGACCAGCCTTGCTGTCACTTGGGGCCAGACACAGTGACACCGCTTGTGCCGTGCTGTCGCCCGAATGTGCTACCACCTCGAGGGGCAGCGGAGCTCCCCAGGCGTCAGCGCTGCACCCTCACCTACGCCTGCAGTCCCAGCCACCACTTTTCTTCTAAAAACGCCCCAAAACTTTTAGGAGTTTGTTTTTGGGGATGGTCCTCAGTGGGGGACCACCACCAGTCCCAGGAGGCTCGGCCCCGGCAGAGTGCAGGGTACACCTGGTACACCCGGCTTTGCAGCGCTGGCCGCTCTCCGGCGGTATCTGGGACGCGCATCTTTCTCCTCCTGTGACTCCCAGGCATTCGCTCGGTTAATTATTACCGCTCCCACCAGAGCGTCTGCGATGCCCAGCCGGCCCTGACCCACCGGCCGGGGCTGCTGTGCCTCCATCCCTGCACGCACGACGCCGGGAGGGGATGCTGGGATATACGGCGTCTCCATAATCTCCCCAAAACCAGGAAGGGATGCTGGGATATTCGGCATCTCCATAATCACCCCAAACCTCCTGCTGGCAGGAGCCAGGGTGAGGCCTTTGCTTTGGGAAGGCAGATTTGAGACCCCGAGTGGGGTTAGCACCACGTGCCGCCGGGGGTGGAGAGGCTCTGCTGGGAGATCCGGGCTGCGTCGTGCAAAATGAACTCGGGGAAGCTGTTTCCCAGCCC